TTAGATCTATCACTCTCCTATAATCTATTACGCTCTGAGCAGTCTGATCAGCTAGGACAATCAATTCTTCTGGTACTGGCATTATTGAATCCAGGTCTTCCACTTCAGTATGCTCTCTAATTCTGGTCATTTTGAATGTTGGCCCTTTTTCAGAATTAGATCTGGCCGGAATATCCTCATTGGCATTCATCATGGCCTTAATGAATAATTGTAGAAATCTCTGGAATGGCACAAATTTTCGAACTTTTGACGGGAATCTTTTGGTATTGACTAGCTCTACTAACTCATTCCATATGACCAAGGCAAAGTCATAATTTCTTGAAAAGACGACACCATGAAAGAACTTCAGAAATGAGCTACTGCATGTGTCTATGTCCACTGTCTTTGACGTTTGGCATCTATTCAAGATAGAGAACAGTAAGTGCCAGATTGAAGGCAGGAAACGTCGTTTGAACTGAGTTGGGTTGTTCAGAACAGCCGAGTATCCTAGGCGCTTGATATCTAGACATAATTGTTCGTCTGATATAAAATTTTCAAAGCCAGTAGATCCTGGTTCGGGCAGACGAAGTATTCTTCTAAGACGCTTCAGTGTCAGACGACTGACAAATTCGTCAACTTCGCCTTGAAAGTAGATAGCATCCCCGTCTTTTTCTAAGGTCAAAGTGCTCCAAAATTGTTGTAAATATACCATTGGAACTGGTGTATTTGCAGATAAAGAATAAGAAATTGGATGACCTTTCAGGATTTCTATAATGATTGGGTATTCARCTGGCATAGCAAAAGAGAAGACGTGGTTATTTGGTTTTATATCAAGGTATTGGATTTGAGGGAAAATGGTTTCAGATGGAATAGGTTGGTTCGGCGGGTGTATAGGGATATTATCTGATCTGACAGAAGAAACATGAGATTCCTCGTCAGATTGATGTCGTTGATCCGCCATTAACCTGTAAAAATTCTAAAAACATTAGAAACCATTTATTTAATCACAATATAACCCACACAACAAAAAAAATTAAATTCTAAAAAAAATAAAGAGAATTTTTTTTTTCAACCAACACTTAGAAAAAAAATTGAATAACAGATTGACCGGATTAGAAGTCCGGAACTTACAAAATATACAAACACTTGGAAAAAAAACAAAGTTGTGACAGGATTAGAAATCCGGACAACAAAGTACTCACAAAATTACTAAGTCAAAAGACATAAATCGGACAATCATCAACCGGATTAAGATTGATCGAATTGAACTCCGATCATCTTGTCCGGTGAAGTATCCGTTCAACACATATTCACACAMAGTAAAAAAAAATCAAAAGAATACATTCTAAAACAAAAATACATTAAAAAAGAAATGAAAATATACTAAAAAACGATCAAAATACACTAAAAAATACATTAAAATACACAAACATTCAAAGCTAAAACGGTTTTATTTGATTTTATTTTCTTATTATCCACTTTCAGGTTCGATTAAGAAGTTATGAGAATATAACGTCCAACARTCCATTAGATCGATGATAATCCAATACAATCAAGGTATATGAATAAGAAAACAAACGATGTAAACCTTGATTTAAGAAAGATGACTGTTAAAGATTGACT